CTACTAAGGTCCCAAATTTAGTTGCTTGCGATCGCTTGCCCCCTTATTCCGTGTTAGTAATTGCCAACGCTTTAACCACTAGGCTACCCCACCGCCCCGATCAACATCATGGGCATCGATCTACGCAAATGGGACACAATGACACGTGTCAACCAAAGTAAGCGAGTCTGACCACCCGATCCCGTTAGTCGCCTCTTACGACAAGCAAGGGTTGCTGAAGATATTCTAGGGTTGGAATTGTCTTGAAAGTTGTAAGGATGCACTGGGTGCAAACTTAAGAGCGTCGTCATATAGCTCCATACTCCTGCATGCAGCAATAAATACATGCTAAATGGCATCGTGGTAGACTGCTCACAAAAGTAAATAAATTGACATCAGCTTGTGATTAAGTCAAACAACAAGATACAGATAAATTATGCCCCATGCATTGATTTAAACGCTGACATTTCTTGCAGATGCCAGTATGCTATTGGTTGCAATAGCTATAATTACAATGTAAATGTTAAGCTAATTCTGAATGTTGGCGTTCGAATAACTCAAAACGTTTTCTCAGTTTGATGTTAGCGGAATTGAAGGCCATGAGTTCATCCCCTTGCTGAAAACGTCTCTCTTGACAGGTGTCACGCTGACCTTTGTTGTGTTCTTCGTGTGAATGCCATACCATAGTGCATGAGTTGTTATCGTAGTGAGCACTGGTTGTTCGGGCTGTAATGAGAGTAACGATATTTCCAGGACATTAACTACCCTCCTGTGATATTGGGCCGTCTGTAAATTGATGAATGAATATTGCTTTACGCCGCATCATGAAGATTCGGGTTAGAATTGATCTTCAGTAACCCTTGCTTGTTGTATGAGGCGACTAACGGGTTCGGGTGCTCTGACTCGCTGACTTGGTTGAAACATGTCATCGTATCCCCATTGCGTACGTGTAGATCGATGTTCATGCTGTTGAACAGTGGATTGTCTTGTCCAGACACGATTATGCACAGATCGCTGCCATATAGCTGGAATACAGTGCGGCGTTAACTCACTCACTCATCATTATTTCAGCTATACGAGACGAGAACCAGTAACTATTAAATCTAACACATACACATGAAATACAATACTAAAACGTATGATCTCAAAGACAATGTAAAATATAAGTTATTTATTACAGACAAAACAAACAATATTGAAAGTTTTGCTAAAAGCTATGTCTAATCATAAGAATTATAGAATCTGGTTGATATGAACTTGTGTAAAAAAATTGTTTGAAAGTAGAAACATTAAGATATGTACACGTATCAATGCAGTATCCAAGCAGTCTAAAAGTAAAAAATACATGTAAAGTAATATGTCTTATGGTAAACTGACATTGACAAGGAATACACAAAGGAGGAACATCTCCCTTTAAAAGAAAAGAATGTGTAAAATGTTAATGTCCCATACGCCGTCGTCTTAAAACAACATAATCTCTTCGACAGTTGGTACTGATTATGTTACTACAGGTAAATATCATGTAGACATGTAGCTTGTTTGCGGTTTGTTGATCCCAACTTGACTGCCAACTTTAATTCACACCCAGTGGGCACATCAACGTTGTTTCAACGTTGAGAATAGGTTGGTCCTCAACGTTGAAATTAGGTTGAAAATAGGTTGTATATGAAAGTTTTTTAGACGTAGATATCCGACGTGGAATGAACGTTGAAGTTTGACACATTATTAACGTTGAACATGAGTTGTTCCATGGTTGGGTATGGGAGTTTTTAATATTTAGAAATCTAACGTAAATACGTGAAAATTCAACCAAGGTTACAATACTTGTATTCCGCATTCCTGTAAATAGACTCGCATTCAGCTTTAAACTACACTAAAGTAGCACTAAATTCCTGCATCCAATTAAAATACCAAAAAATGCTACCTGCAATAAACAGTGAAACAGAAAATTACAGTAAAAATATTTACCTCATAAAATACTTGGTTAAAATTCCACATTCAATATAATGTTCATTTAAGTGTTATGTCAGTTGGAAATATAATTCCAGTAAGGAGGAAAGCGTATTCCAAATTAAGAAAAACTATTTACTGTTGTATTGTTATCTTGAAAAGATGGAAATTGTCCCGAGAAGATATATTGCCTGAATTTCAGCGATTAGATAGACCCCTGAATCAATACAATGCAATCACTTTCACCATGCATGAACTATACCAGGAAGACAGCACATAAAACATGTCACTCCTCATGAAATCTTTATTAACACACACAGAGAGAGAAATTGTTTACTTTAGACTAAATTTAAAGCATAATGTAAAACATCATACATGACATAGTCTGTAGGTGATCTCTGTTGTGCTAATATCACAATACCATCTGCATAGAGCATTAAACTGACATTTACGCCACCAATTTCAATACCACAGTTCAGATCTTTCAACCCAATTACAACTCCAAACACACAATTATTAGCTTGTCTTCTTTCTGCCACTCCCAGCTCTGACGGTGGATACTTCAGAAAGGTTCCTATCTCTTTCTTGAAATTTGCTTCGGATGCATTCCCATCCTGAGATAGGACACATTCTGAAATATTTATGTTTAAATGCATGTATATGGAAGATATATTGTCTTAAATGGTTCACGTATTTGTTTAATCAATCACTTGAAAGTTCCTTTCACTGCTGTAACTTGGCACGTGAACATATGTAACATGCATACAAACAGCACCAATACAAAATATGAGGAAAAAGTGCTTTTATAGTGTAAACAATTTATATTTTAACTAAAGGAATGGAAGTCTTCTTAAACATTTTCAAAGAAAATTCTCAATTGCAAGTTGATTATTCAATTAGACTATGAATTAGACGATGCTTTACTGTCATATATTTGTTGCTATGGTCATGATGAAAATGCTGACAAAGAGCATTTGGTAATTAACATACCAGAGGTAATTGAATACAATATTGCATTCTTAACAGAAAACTTGCAGTTTCGCCCATCAACATTCATTCTTGACATCAAACTGTTTGACATTGTCCTGCAAAACCAATGGAAGTTTGTTGTTATTCTGTCAGATTTAGTTTTCTTTAGAGATTCCCGAAAAGATTATTTTAAATTAAATAGGTGATGTACTGATGTAGCAATTTTGCTATCAGGAGTCATAAATTGTAACAAAGGCATTTTTACATTAAAGGATGAGAAAACAAAGTGTTTGGTAATGAAAGATCATTATCATCTTTCTCTTTAAACTTTGTGATGGAGATACTGGCAAACAGGTGGAATGTTAAAAACTTTTTACCTTAGCATTGCTCCCTTCATGTGATCCACAAAATTGATGCCACCCAATCTTCCATTAAAGATAAATCTTATTTTTAATAATTAAGTTTTCCTTTCTAAATTACTTCTTTTATATGTAACATTTTAACCATGAAGAAATATAAATCATCACAACCCTTCCAAACCAGTGTAAGAATGAAAGTCTTTGGGTTCCTTTTTTTTTTTAATTGTTCTAACAAAGAATCATTAGTGGAGTTACACATTTTATAAATAAAAAAAAGTTCAAATAAGTTAAATACAATTTCACCCTTCACAAAGGCTTGCACAAGACATTTTGATGTGAATTATCCACGGTTCAGGGCGTGATCAATGCACAATTTACTAATAGATCTATTAAAACGAACTAATTTTCATAATAATGTGATGTAGTATATAATATTGATAGATTCTATTTGATTTTGTATAGCTGCCCTTATATAGATGTATTTCGTTGATTATTTATCAATTAATATTTGCAAAAGTCAATCAGGTGATGGGTACGAAAGGAAATCTTATTCGATTATATAATAAAATGCCAAATACATGCATGCAAATATATTGAAAAAATAACAAAACAAGTTCATGGAAAACACGGGCTTCCACGAAATTGAGAAACACGTAAGTGACATACCGGTAACCTTTCATTATACATGAAGGAAATACTTACCAAATAAACACCAGCATGCCGTAAAGATGTTGAAAATAAAACGATATTGCGTTGAACTTCGCCAAAGTGAAACGCCGAACTGACAACGATCAACTGCCTTTGCGCGCGCGTTAATTGTGCGCAAGCCCGGATATGACCAAACGAGGCGATCGAAAGGTCAACATCTAGCATGTGTTTGAAAGCAAATTGTCGGGAATTATAAAATTTTGACAGTTTTGCGGGAAAATATCAAATTTAATGCAATTCGGATAAATGCTGACTTTATACCTAAAATCATTTATTTTTTCATTTTCAATTACGATGATTTACGTAACATTTCCTTCCGTTGATCGACGCACAATCAAACAATATGTTAGATTATGGATCTGGATCTTTTATCAAATTAATATTCAGAAATGATAGATGCTAAGTTGGATACCTATTACCAATATAAATTATGTATCAAATTTACCAAGGAAACAATTAGTTGACATTTTGTTGGTTCCTTACGTTGAAACAACGTTGACAACTAAACGAATCTCGACTAATTTTCTTTGGTCGCATGATGAACGTTGAATCAAGGTTTATGAAAGGTTGATCAACCAAACAACCAAAAGTCAACGTTGATTAAACGTTTTCTCAACGTTGTGTGCCCGCTGGGCATATTGTCATATAACAGGCTTGCAATCAGTGAGAGGGATCCTTGTGGGTACAGAAAAAATTTGGTTAAATAAATATAAATGATAATAACTGACACAGAACTAGGGTCCTTATTCTAGCGTCAAAGTGAACTTTTGCATTTCAGTTGTATTATCAGTTCCTTCTATTAATGATAATAACTGAAAAATAAATAGTGGTCTAAAGGAAGGAAACAAAGTCTAAAGTACCTGAAAGGCCAAACTGGAACACGCATTCTTGTGGGTCATATTTTCACTTGGATGATAGGATCTTTTTCTTGCATCAAAGAGAACTTTTGCATTCCAGTTGTGCGAGCTGACTCCGCATTTTGACCTCAGCTACAGCCTCGGGAACTCCACACAGGCCAGCTTCATACAGGACCCAGTTTGGGTCTCGTCCTCGCTTACAACGTTTCTGACATCTACGACAGAAGGTGAAACAACTGGTAATGTTGCTGGCGTTGACAACTCTAAAGATCCCCACAAATGTGTGCACGTCGACCTCTGCCTGTTCTTTGTTGTGTTCAGATTAGTGCTGGGATTGGTCAAAATCTCATAATTGATGATTGGTTCATTACAACCGATCAATCATCGAAATAATTGGTAAGCGTCATTTATGAAATTTTCCTGATTATATTTGTTGATGGACAAAAAAGAATAAAGAAAAAAACCTGTAGTTCTTTGGTGTTTTTGCAAATTGCACACAAGGCATTGACAAATTTCACATCTTTAAAGGATGATTAGTAGGTTAGGAACATTAATTTCTTGGAGTCTTGAAGATAAATTCAATCATGACTTGGAACGAACTTGTAGTGGTCATGAAATGTAACAGACAAAGCCAACCTTGTGAAATTTTTGTTAATGCAAACAAGTGTTCCAGAATTGTTTGTGTTCGATTATGAGAAAACATGATCGATTGCTTGGTCGTTTAGTCACTGCGACCAATCTTCGAATATTTCACTTAAACGGACCACCACTAGTTCAGATACATTCGAACATCTGACCAGCTTTAAAACAATATGGTTTGATCATCTTTTGTCGTTTTGGAAATCAATGAGAGATAATGGATCCAACTTTATTTCTATCTTAACTGTGCCAGAATACGGACTTGGTCTTGGCATTCCAATTATAGTGATGAACTGAGTTTGTAAGATAGGCATACCTTGTGACAGTGCAATTGCCTAGGCGAGACTGTGAATCTGCCGCTGATGATATAAAGTGGATGTAGCGAGTCTTGCAGGATGACCACTTTTGCTTTTGTAGTTGAGTGTGTATAAACACCAAAATATTCCCCTTTGGTTGCAGTTCATAATAGTTGCTTTTTCTGAGTGATTTTAAAAGTAAACACAAGTCTGTAACGTTCTGTTTCTAATGACGAGATCACACACTAACATTCCTGGCTTCTTCTGTGATCTTTTCACTGTCATATTCATTGTCATAACTGACATTTCACTTTTGACTCTTGAACTGTCAAGACTGACCTGTTCATTAACACAAAGGTCTTAAAGAAGATTATTCAGGAGGTTTACAAGACAGGAGGGGTTTGACATGTATACAAGTGACATTTGCATTGAATGTTTTCAAAGATTTCGGACTGCATCATTTTTGTATTTTGTCCGTAACTGTGAGTATAACAGCTGCTGTGTGCTCTGCCCTTGTATTCCACCTTGGCATTATACAAGGTCCTTGAGAGTGTAGTTATGACTGTTTTTCAAATATACATACCATACTTGTTGCATACAGCCACAAACGGTATGGGGTTTGCAGGCTCCCTCACTTGGTTGACATATGTCAACATATCCCACTTACATAGATAGTTGCTCTTTGCTTAGTTATCTGGACTCGATAATTTACAGACTGACGTCATATATCTGGAATTTTGTCGAGTGCAACGGAAAACAACAAACATTTCAACACAATTACATGGCTGTTTGTGTGATTTAACTCTGCAGTGAGCAATTCTTCAGCAGTCTGTACATAATCGAGTTCTGACCAGACAATTAGGTTATTGATATCGTTTGACCCGTGAAGATCCGGGGTAGACTAGGTCTTCAGCAACCCATTCTTGTCATAAAAGGCGACTATGCTTGTCGTAAAAGGCGACTAACGGGATCGGGTGGTCAGGCTCACTGACTTGGTTGACATATGTCATCGGTTCCCAATTGCGCAGATCGATGCTCATGCTGTTGATCACTTGATTGTCTGGTCCAGACTCGATTATTTACAGACCGCCGCCATATAGCTTGAATATTGCTGAGTGCGGCGTAAAACTAAACTCACCCACTCACTATTGATATCGTTAGCATTGATCTACACAATTTGAACACGATGATATGTGCCAGTCAAGTCAGCTAGCCTGACCACCTGATCCCGTCAGTCACCTCTTACGACAGGAATGGGTTGCTGAAGACCCAGTCTAAATCCGTGTCTTCGAGAGGATTCTGTGTTACGGTCATGCCTATCAAATCCTCATGAGTAAATTACAGTTTACGACAGTACCAAAACACACACACTCCACTGTGTATTTATGCGCAGATTGTGAAAGTTAATACATGACTGTATTTTGGGCCAATGGCCTTGGTACTGGAATTACACACATTACACACACACTCACATACACACAAACAAAGATACATAGGTAGATTGGTTGACAGGCGGATAGATCTGGATATGTAATGGGATAGTAAACATATTCATAATAATTTGGTTTTATCATGTACAATCGTTATGGTTCAGATGATTTGTTTGAAACATTGTAAACATGCTGTTTCAGAACTTCCGTTATCCAGCTCATATGTGATGTGAATGAAGAAGGCTCGTTCAAAGTTGTCGAAGACGAACCAAGCCAACAATACGTAGGTACACCTGGAATCCTAACTATTTGATAGTGGGTACCCGAGTGGTTAAAGAGGTCGCTCGTCACGCCGAAAACCCCGGCTCGATTCTCAAATTGTGTATAATGCATGAAGCCCATTTCTCGTGTCCCCCGCTGTGATATTACTGGAATATTGCTAAAAGCGGCGTAAAACTAAGCTCACTCATTCACTCAATCACTATTTGATAGTGAGTCACATACAGATACCCACGACAATCGTACAATCGTACACTCGACTTTAGTTCAATGACATTTTCTTATGTATGTGTAAAAGGTTTTGTCGCAAATATTTGCTCTGTCATGAATTTATCATGCTGGCTAATACTATGCCTAGCTAACGAGACGTAAATATTTAGAAGCACTAGAGTGTGTCTATATAATGTTCTATAGAATATTACAATGTAAATAGAAATTTAATGAATCCATATATAATACTCTTTCATTTTGGCCAGTTAGTTCGGATGTTTTTATACCTTGATGAGTTATGAGTGTGTTTCATACTCGGAAACGCACTCTTGATTATTGGTAAATACCGGATGCTTAGATTTCTGTAAGCAATCGTAAGTCATTGATTTCTCACGCAAAAGAGCCTAATTGTACGCCATATACACGTTAATGTTTTAGTTGCCTGTAAGTTTGGTATATTTGAAATTCCCAATAATTACTACGACTCTAGTGATATTCAACCTCAACAGCATAGCACGCATTCGCATACATATTATCATTATTATAGGATATTTATATAGCGCACATATCCACGCAACTTGTACATGCTCAAGGCGCTGGTTTTCACTCGATCATTGGATGTCAATCTCAACAGCGCATCGTATTATCAATCTCAACTCCTGGGGAGTATACCAACTCGATGCAGTCACTTGCAGACTTTCCCATCCTCTCGAAGTACCCATTCACAATACTTTGTCCAGTGGATGCTTAGTGACCTCAAATGGGACGACCACACTGGATACTTAATGACCTCAAATTCACAGTGAAAACTTAATGACCCTAAATGTGACGATCACAGTGAATACTTAATGACCTCACATATGACGATCACAGTGGATGACCTCAAATAGGACGATCACAGTAAATGCTTAATGACCTCAAATGGATCACCACAGTGGATGCTTAATGACCTTAAATATGACGATCACAGTGAATACTTAATGACCTTAAATATGACGATCACAGTGAATACTTAATGACCTCAAATATGACGATCACAGTGAATACTTAATGACCTCAAATATGACGATCACAGTGAATACTTAATGACCTCAAATATGACGGTCACAGTGGATACGTCATGACCTCAGATAGGACGATTACAGTGTAAATATAATATATACTTCAAATATATTCGGGGCGGTGGGGTAGCTTACTGGTTAAAGCGTTGGATCCTCACGCCGAAGACCCGGTTCGATTCCCCACATGGGCACAATGTGTTAAGCCCATTTCTGGTGTCCCCGCCGTGATATTGCTGGAATATTGCTAAAAGCGGCGTAAAACTAAACTCAGTCAGTCAGTCAGTCAGTCAAATATATTCATATAATTTCGTACCAGCCCGCTTAGCTGCACGTTTACGAACGCTGCAACATTTCCTGATGCAAAATCCATACTTTATGATTGTCCACAGCACGTTTTAATTGATGCGCGCCGTTGATTTTTTTACGGTGATAAGAGTTTTTTGTGGTCTCACATGTTTATCCAAAAGCAATCTAATTATTTTATCACATTAATAATACATACATCCATTTACATTGATTGGACAGAAAATGCAATAAATAAATTCATTCTCTCCGAGATGAACTCAAGCCCTAATGGTATGTACATATCGTATTGACAGATAAATGTTGACAAGCGGATGTCAAATATTGTATTTCTGACGGGACGTCACATTTAATGTGTCCTCGGGATGTAAATGTGATAACAAAACGCTTTGTGAAATACATACAAATGTAATTATTCATACATGTTTCCATCTGATAACGCGATATCGTGGTCATCTTCGAGCAAACAACGTTCACAACATCCGAGTAGCTCACACGTTTACCAGTCTCATGTGTCTCGTGATTTATTTCAACCATTCTGCATGCAAGATTATTCTAATTGTGATGATAAGACAATGGTCATGTGCCAACGAAGTCAATAATGGTAACGATGGTTATGAAAATATTATATGTGACGTTAAATATTAACTCACTCACTCACTCACAATGAAAATATTATGAGGTAAAGAAGATATTATGATGATAAAGGAGTTAGTAAGGGAGTTAAAAATATTTTTCGTGTGTGTAATACTACAGTCTCAGAGGATGAAGTTATTCATTTTGCAATATCTGTTGACAACGGACAATAAGAACAGTTGGGTATATAACGGTTCTGTAGATAAGACAAATATATGGATGGCAACTTTTTCTTTATTGTATAACACGACGTTTCTGGGCTACTTCTTGCCCCTTCTTCAGGCAAGACGTAGCCCAGAAACGTCGTGTTATACAATAAAGACGAGGTTGCCATCCATATACCTGTCTTATATATTCAACAACTTCTAAACACCTCACAAGAATCTCAACAGTTCTGTAGATGATAGAGGATATTAATTGTGGTGTTGATTATTGCCATGACTGTAATATGATATTCATGAAGATATTGATAAGAATGATGTTAATGATAACATTTATGATGGTAATGGTGACACAAGTTTTGATAATCATGATTTAACTGTGGTAATTAGTAAATGAATGATTATTATAACGGTGGCAATGACAACATTAGGTGTAATGATTGTAATGACAATATTCACGATTGCAATGTGGAAGATCATTATATTGATGATGATGTTGATGATTACATTCATTCGATACTTCAATATTTCTATTACAGTGGAGGACAGAGATACCTAAGCACGAACTTTACATATACCCTTTCTATATAGTTCCGTTTATCGAACTCTTTTTTTCTCCCATTTTCAGAACTTCATCCTAAGAAGTAAGCACTGCTGTCCCAAGACGCAATCTAAACGGTCTACCTGAACTATTCTCGTGGGAATAAACTGCAGTCTTCACGCTTGATGTGATCTTCTAAGAAATGTTAAGTGAAGCGCGAATGTTGTTTGATGCCATGCCATAGTCAGCTTTATTCCTAGATTGCTATTTGTAAATATGAAAATACAGGAATGTAATGACTGAAACATGACTGACTGACTGAGTAAGGTTTTACGCCGCTTTTATGAATGTCCCAGCAATATCACGGTTTGGACACCGGGGCTTCACATATTAATCCAATGTAGGAAATGGAAAACTGAACTTTGGCGTGAAAAGCGAACGCTTTACCACTAGGCTATCCCACCGTCTCCTTAAAGCATATACATCTCCGGGATACAGTGACATAGGATGCCACGCCAACAAACCGATCCCAGTATGAATGAAAGGAGAAGCCTAGGATACTTTGGCCTTCAACGCCTCCTTCACGGCATGTGTGCTTTGTGGGGGACGAAATGCCGAAAGATGCAAGTGTCGAACGCTTACCAGAAACGGGCATAGTTATGGCATTGACAAACTTAGAATGTACCAGGATTTGAACCTGTGATCATTGGTCTCTGGCACACGTTTAGGGAAGCCACTCTGCACATCGAACTGGGGACATTAGACTTCCGACTTTAGGCCACCTCATATGTGGCGATATATACACAACGAACTTAATTAAGCACCCATTATATTTTTGCAATGACAGATTTCCAACACGTACATGAAACTTCTCATGGTGACCATGAAGAAAAAAACATGAGTTTTTCTTACCCGTATGATCCTTTGACTCATACAAAACGAAAATATGACTGGAATCCATGTTGAATTTATGATGATAATTGCTCATTTACAAAAACGCCCCACTGATTTTCATACAAAACTATGTCTGTACAAGTATGGCCCTGGGATGTTAAAAGTTGAATTTATTGGTGAATGTGAACATTCAAAATGTCATTTTGCGTACCTTACACGATTCAAGGTCAATACCGAGTGTAACCACCATGTGACTGTATGACAGGCAGCACACTCCTCTTCATACCCCTGTCAGCCTCCTGATCCTCTGAAGGTGCAGACTACGCCATTCCTTGTGTAAAGCAGCTTCCAATTGGACCAGGTTCTGTACAGGAGGATCCCTTTGTTGTACACGAAGACCAATCATGTCCCAGATATGCTCCAAAGGGTTCAGATCGGAGCACATTCAATCGTTGGATATGTCAGGGATGCTTAACTAAGTTCTTTGTGTATAACTTGTACGAAATGGCCAGTAGCGCAAGATTAATGGAGACTTTACAGATCTCGGAAGATGTCGGTTTATGGCAAAGATGCATGCATAATAGAACCCTCGAACACGTACTCATTTAACTCACTACATCGTTCTTTACTTAAAATTGATAAATCAGAGATGGTCTTGACAAAAACGTGCTTTGTTTAAACGGGACTTTCACTTAAGTGAATTTACTGGAAATCCACTTAGATACTTCACAATGTCTTACTCGATGGAACTAAAAGACGCGATTCTGAAATCAAAAACAAAATCAATTTCACTGGATGCAATCCCTACTTGGCTGCTGAAAGCGACTATAGACAATGTTTCGGATCTGCTCCTGGATATTGGGAACATATCACTCAAGGATGGTCTTGTCCCTGAATCTTTCAACGTGGCTGCTGTCACGCCATTGCTAACAACATGAAGCCAGATCGGAATGAACTTAAAAACTATAGGCCTGTGTGAAACCTGTCCTTTATTTCAAAGACGTTAGACAGAATTCTATCTCTGAGTCTCCTCAAACATCTCAATTAAAATGGTGTACTCTAACCTTTCAGTCTGCAAATTTCCGTCGCCAGAGCACCGAGACAGCACTTGTCAGAGTTCACAATGACATCATGAAATCTATGGATCAGAAAGAATGACATTGCTTATTCGTCTAGATCTATCGGCGGCTCTTCATACAATCGACCATGCTGTGTTGTTCAAGAGATGAGAATCACCGGTACTGCTCTTTCATGGATTATGTGTGCTATCTCTCTGAGCGAACGCAGTACATTACCTTGGGGTCGGTGAACTCAGCGCCAACATTTCTCACAGTTGGAGTGCGTCAAGGTTCAGGACTGGTACCGCTCTTCTTTAGCATCAACATCCTGCCAATTGGAGATATTGTGAGGAGCCATTGTCTTCGTTTCCAACTCCGTGCTGACGGTAACCAGCTGTGCATTTCCACTGAACCATCTCAGGCACACAATGGAGTCCAACCAATTGTAGCCTGCCTAGCCGAGATCAGAACATGGGTGACCATTAAATATCTCAGAATAAATGTCAGCAAAACATAATTTTGTACTTTGGGATAAAATCAGCAGCTACAGAAAGTCCCATCATCACTCACTGTCAGAATCGGTGACTGTGATATTGCATTATCTACCTGTCGCAGACATCGTGGACGTACATTTCAGACAAACATGCCCATGGAGCAACACTTCGATCAATTGTCAAAAGCTTTTTTTTCAAAATTCACAACATCGGTCTAATCTTCTCAACACAGAAACAGTCAAGCTCTTGCTGCAAACTCTTGTTACATCACAACACCATTACTGTAATGCTCTCTGCTTCAATATCCCAACATCTCTGCTATCTGAACTTCAGAGAATTCAAAACGCTAATTTGCCCCAAGTAGCATGCACTTGACCTGTCTGTGATGACGACAATGACTCTTGATGTTTTAAATGTTTTGTTATAAGATTGTAGTGTAGCTTGTCGTTAGTACATAAATGAGTGAGTGAGTGAGAAACGGGCTTCACACATTGTACCATGTGGGGAATCGAACCTGGGTCTTCAGCGTGACGAGCGAACGCTTTAAGTTTTCCAAAATTGACCATCGAAATGTGTTTTACTTTGTACAGCGCCACTGAGCACCTTACTGGTGGTTTGTAGGCGCTATAGAAATACATTATGATTATGATTATTATCATATTGCAGAAGGTGATGCCTATGGCTCGGAGGTATCGTCTTGGTGACATATCTTGCCTCGGAATACAAAATCTTCAAAACCTGTTTGATATATGTAGCCTCACTTGGAATCGTTATCGACACGGTGATCTACTATCTATTCTTCTGTCTGCATTACAATCAATAGTAAAATCTAATATGTGTATATTCACAATGCGCCAAAATCAATCCTTTTGAAACATGCATTCCCTTTGTTAACGGATCAGTGTGAACTCGAATTCCATACCCAGCTCTCTTTGGAAAATTGACATCACGTTAAACTTTTATTACCTAGGAGGTTAACGGCACGTTAATATTTGTTTTTGGTACGCATTCAGAGATAGGTGAACGGATTTCAGACAATAACACTTTCCCAGGTAATCACTGTGTACGTAACCGAAGGTTTTCTAATCCCTCGGTATTTGAACTAGGCACTGAAACCGTATGAAACTGATATCTTGTGGATGTAACTATGTATTTATCATTTATTATGACATGAATGAAATTCTGTGTTTTGGATTGATCCATACAGTCCTAGGGGTGTATCCAACTATGTTAGCCCACTCATGACCTGAGGGTAATTAAGATAACAATACAGGTTCCCCAGCAATATAGGCTCGTTGTCAGGCAACCAAATACACTGGATGGTAATCTCGGTGTTTAAATGTAGGGCGATGGCTGCTTAAATACGGCGTGAGGATCCGGGTTAAAATTGAGAGTCAGATTGACGGATCGAAAAAGAATCGAAAGTCACGTGCATATGCCAAAACAGTGTATTTAACCTGCATATACAAGCATAATCATCATCACCATCATCATTATCATCACCATCATCATCGTCGTCCTCCTCACCCGTGAAAATCCGGGTTACAATTGGTCTTTAGCAACCCATGCTTGTCGGAGGAGGCGACTAACGGGATCGGGTGGTCAGGCTCGCTGACTTGGTTGATTCATGTCACCGTATCCCAGTTGCACAGATCGATGTTCATGCTGTTGATCACTGGAATGTCTGGTTCAGACTCGATTATTTACAGACCGCCGCCATATAGCTTGAATATTGCTGAGTGCGGCGTAAAACTAAACTCCCTCACTCACTCACACCGAAGACCCGGGTTCGATTCCCCACATGGGTAGAAAGTGTGAAGCCCATTTCTGGTGTCGCCCGCTGTGATATTGCTAAAAGCCGCGTAAAACAAAACTCACTCACTCGCTCACTTACTTACTCATTTAGAGCACCTTATAAATATCCGACTTTGTGATGGGAGTTTTGACAAGTTTAAACAAGGCAAATACCGGATTCAAAACCCTTTGGATGAAACAACGCTCAAGAGACGCAAGACTGTGCAAGGAATTGTTCACAGAGCTTCTTTGACGATCGCCGCCGTCTAAGACTTTCAGTGCAAAACATTCATCTGCACTTCCTGACTGTGGCAAATACACAGAGAGTAGTTGTAACAAATAACTCCTGTTTAATTCATGATCTCCAGTAAGGTGGTCAATGGTATTAAATGTACTATTGATGAATGTATTGATTACAATGTTTTAGTATGGAAACGGCAAGCTTGGAATCTCGAAACTTGGAATGGTAATGATTTACTGTCCATTGTGGCAGCCATTGATCAAGAAAACTAGTCTCGTCACCATGGCAGAGATACTGTTGATTTGTCGTAAACACTTCACTCACTATTCAGATGTTTTTCTGTTTAGTCCCAGGAGTGTACTTAATTTACAAATTTACAACGGGATTGTCAACCTAGCATCTTAGGGGCAGCACTGATTGCATCCTCCCTAGGGAGTTGAGAATCAAATCGAGTCCACATTAATCTTTGAGCGTGCCCACGTGTCGTGTGGAAATACATGCTGGTATAAACTGACGGGCTAAAGAAACAATTTGAATTGAAATTACCAAAATTTCCAAACTCCAAGCTGCACTCACCATCACATGAAAACACATCGCCCAAACACACGTGGCCAACCGCCCACTTATTAGAAATTAAATTAACACAAGATTCAGATGAGTGATGGTTTTAACATGTCACTATCTTGAAATATAAATAAGAATATATTTTCAAAACACAGTATATAAATGAACATATATTCAACAATAAAAAGATACATTTTCAATAATTCAAAATGTGAATGTGTGTAATGTCAGAATATTTTATGGTCCGACACAAAACTCAGCCATGCTGTTCTTGAATTATTCCTATTTAATTAGTGAATAAATATATTTCAAATAAATTAATACTGTCAAACCTTGTAAAACAACAACGCCAACTGTCACCACAGTCGAACAAATGAATTCTTAAACAACCCAACGCGAATTAGATTATATTTTCATGACGTATAAATATGTGCGGTGAAATGACAATTGGTTTCCCGAAACCGCTGAGCGCACTGGTTCCACCATGTATCGGTGTTCTTTAAGTTTGTCTTCTAGGCCGGAAGTGAGTAACAATTGAGGAACACCCTATGGCTCCAACAACGACAGGTGAGAGTGCTTTACGAATAGAATTGTTATAATTGTTTACATATCTCATCGCGTTTTATTTCTAAAATGGGTGTGTGGGGGTGGGGTGGGGGGTGTAGCCTAGTGGTTAAAGCGTTGGCTCGTCACGCCGAAGACCCGGGTTCGAATCCCCACATGGGTACAATGTGTGAAGCCCATTTCCGCCGTGATGTTGCTGGAATATTGCTAAAAGCGGCGTAAAACCAAACTCAGTCAGTCAGTCTAAAATGGGATGCTGCCAGATGAAATAATAATATATTCCATGTTAACAGTAGTTTATGTATCTGCCGTGGGTCATCCTATTGGGTTTAAGCTCATAATATTGTGTTATAATAGTTCCCCGGTACTATATGACTTTCCTTGGATAATAGATTTGTATCTTCCGTTGATAACGCGAATGCCTTTCTACAGAAATGCATTTTGCATTTAATTTATGTACACAACATAATGATGTAATGAATGATTTGGGGGTTATTTTCGTGGATCTAACTTGTAACCTTCGTATCTATAGACAAGAGTGCGTATCACTTGGCCTGAGAGGCGCCAGTAAATCACAATACGTTTCACATTTTCTTTCAAGAATACATGATATTTTACGCACGTTTCTTAAGGTTCATGGAAAATAATCTTAATTTTTTGAATGGATTTAATTTCCTTTTTCGGGTTTAGTTAGACAAAACACTTACCCTCGTTTTTTATATGATCTATAATGCTCATTTTCGAAAATAACTTTCGGAGTTGTCGTTTCTAGGTTTTATCCCATCGGGGCGTTATTTTATCTGACAATATTCCTCGGACGTGTTTTATCCTAGTATACACAAATTGTCGGCGTTTGTTCAGAGACCTATGAAGATCCGGGTTATAATTGATCTTCAGGAACCCATGTTTGTCGTAAATCATATAGTCATACGGATTCAGAAATAATGAATGCGGATACAACAACGTAAAGTTTAGAGATGCAAATGTCATTGAATAATAATATAACTGGCAATAGTGTCGAAACAGAAAGCGAGGGCTGACGGTGAGAGAGTTTAGTTTTACGCCGCACTCAGCAATTTTCCAGCTATATTGCGGCGATCTGTAAATAATCGAGTCTAGACCAGACAATCCAGTGATCAACATCATGAGCATCGATCTACCGATGACATGTGTCAACCAAGTCAGCGAACCTGGCCACCCGATCCCGTTAGTCGCCTCTTACGACAAGCATGGGTTACTGAAGATCAATTCTAACCCGGATCTTCACGATTGAAGGGAGACGGTAAGATTACATACATTTATAGTTCATTTCATGCATGGAAGAAGAGTGAGTGAGTGACAGCATGAGCATCGATCTGCGCACTTGGGAACCGATGACATGTGTCAACCAAGTCAGCGAGCCTGACCACCCGATCCCGTTAGTCGCCCCTTACGACAAGCATAGTCGCCTTTTGTGGCAACCTATTCTACCCCGGATCTTCACGGGTCTGGAAGAAGAGACAAATCTGACTCAGTGTATAGATATACTGAGTACAAATACAAATATGTATTAAAGGCTCCATACATATCATACTTAGGTTATACAGAGAGCTAGTATACATTGGTTTATTGTTCCATTAAGAGAGTATGTAAGTCCCATTCCATTCGAAGTATCTACATTCAAGCCAGGACCTATATTTTCGAAGCTCTCTTAGTGCTAAGATAGTCGTAAGTGCCATACATTCACATTAACTTGCGACTACCTTAGCGCCACTAAGAGCTTCGAAAACTAGGCCCAGGCTTTTAAATGAAGCATATTCGTTCTTTCAAATTTTGGCTTAACTCATCAATTGTCGCCAGTGACTGAAGGGATGGTGAAAATCCAACTTGTGTCCATGCAGGTAGGAAAGGTACTGTAAGTGCCCATGGTCCCTAGTATGGTGATCTACCTTCAGTTGTTGGAGATCAATAGCCTGTTTTATATTGTATTGTTGATTAATAATATTTCTTTCTTTTAACTGCTATCAGCTAGTTTTCATTTCTATCTGTGATATTCTAGTACTGTCCATCAAATACAGGCTTCTTATTCATACTATATCCAATAATTACATTAAATTTCTCGTCATGTTATGGCTGAGAGATTGCCCTTGTGATGTAAAACATAAACTCTCATTCACTATTATACATTGGTAGTGGCTGCTTATGTTTAACTAACAGTTGATTTTGACAATTTTTTTGATAAAATTACACAATTTGGATAATTTTCTTAGTGTACTTAGTCCATAACAATTATATAGATCAATCATTTTATGAACAGATGGATACTTACGCGGACCTCAGTTTCTAAATTATGTTCAGGGCCTAGATTTTCGAAGCTCTCTTAGCGCTAAGATAGTTGTGAGTTAATGTTAATGTATGGCACTTCCGACTATCTTAGCGCTGAGATAATCTAGGCCCAGGACACTGTTTTGTTAATAATTCATGCAATAACATGTCACCCCACCAGTGATGTCAACTGTATTAATTTCTTTCAGACAGTTTTGTTACGTCTCCAATGTTTATCGCTAATCAATCGATAATGTGTTAACGATTATAGATCACTATGATCTGTATCGATAGCCAGCCTTACACATAGATCTGCCATAAAGTTGCTAGTTGTTGACATGCTGCGGATACATGTTTAATTGTGTATTTCCTATGATTGTATTTTAATACAAGTTTGTTTGCAAGCATCTTTGAATTACAAAACATCATTAGTTTCTGTATTACTAACAAGAAAAAAACACGCCGAGTTGGTACTTGTTTCCTGTGTGTGGGTAGATAACTAGGAATAATTATACTTTTGGAAACACATATATATTTCATTAATTTCATTTACTGACACAGTAAATAAAAAACCTCGGCACGAAGAATAACAAAATTGTGTGCTTGTCAATGCTGCGTTTAACACAGACCATGTCGTAGATACATATGTTGCATTTGATGTTAACAAGCGTTGGCGAACATTTGATGTTTACAAGCGTTGGCAGACATGTTGATATACTAGGCACTCCACATAGAACATTTATCAAGATATCGATTTCAGTTCATTCTGGGAAACGCATTTTGAGTAAAAACTCTAACTTAAGTCAAAACTCAGACTTCAGTTTGTTTTGAGAAATCGGGGCCAGATCTGATGTCGACGTTCCCTCAGACCGGCAAACCCTCAGGTTCGTTCTGGTAGGGAGTCGAACGGTAAGTCTCTATGAACAGTTCTTCGTCATGGGTCATGGGATTGTGCCTTGCCAGGCGAACTGCGTCCCGGTCATCGCGGTCACTGGTCATCCTCGGTCTTGACGGTTTGACGATCCTTTACTTCATCCGTGGCTACGTGCTTGCTCACAAGTCGATCTTTAACCCCGTGGAGAAGTTACCCGAAGTCACCGAACCTATTCGTCCCTGTCTCTTAACTGCTCTGTATAAAGCTTACATATCTTTACTTTAAATCTTAACTCACTCACTCACTCACTACATATCTTTACGAAATACAATAACATCATGTCTTTCTGTTCATGACATGTTGTTTTTTTGTCACAGGGTCCGCTATATTGAAGATGTCAACTGAGAATGGTGTACTCAAAGAGAACTGCGGGGCCTTTGCTCTTGTAGAATCTGGAAAGTCAGACGTATGTAGACTTGTTTCTACCATGATTAAAGTTCAGTTAGTCAGATCAAGACTATTGATTCACTTTGAAATGAGGTATTGGTTTCAATGGTACACAATGAAGCTGATTATTAGATTGTGTGTATGTTGGCGGCCCATGAAGTTTTCGGTTCTTTGGCAACCAATGGTTCTCGAAAGAGAAGTAGGCTGACTGACTTGGTTGCTGCATATTTTTGCATCTTAGGTGCTGGCATCAATACTCATGCTGTTGCTCACTGGACTGTGTGATTTAGACTCGATTATTCACACACCGCTGTCACACAACTTGAGTATAGTTGAGTTAAACAAGACTGACTGAGTTTGGTTTTACGCCGCTTTTAGCAATATTCCAGCAACATCACGGCGGGGGACACCAGAAATGGGCTTCACACATTGTACCCATGTGGGGATTAGAACCCGGGTCTTCGGCGTGACGAGCCAACGCTTTAACCACTAGGCTACCCCACCGCCCCGTTAAACAAGAAACTAACAAATCTGCACTTTGGCTGTTATGCTCGTTTGTTGGCTTGTTGTTTAACGCAGCACTCAACAGTATTGCAGCTATATGGTGGCGCTCTGTAAATGGTCGAGTCCTGACCAGACAATTCAGTGATCATCAACATGAGCGTCGATCAACGCAATTTGCATACGGTGATGTGAGTCAACCAAGTCAGCGAACCTGGCCACTCGATCGCGTTAGTCGACTCTTCAACAAGCATGGGTTGCTGAGGATCAATTTTAACCCGGATCTTCATGGGTGCGTTGGCTCCTGATTCATCAGCTGCACATCATTGTCCTGATAGTCATGAGACTTATATGTAGGTTATTTATCCAGATAATTATTTTAAGATCCATTCTGATGAACCGGACATGCATAATTCACGGACATGAGGAAAATAAGTTATCTCAATCTCCATTTTTAATTAAGGTTGACAAAGAAGACTTCGAGGAGAATGGACTTCTGACACATTTAAATGACCTGTCAGTCGAGGAGGAGGAAAGAGCAGAAGAGAGAGAAGACGAGGAGGAGTTTCGAGAGTACTATTTGAAGTGTGGAGGAAGAGTGGCTCAAACAAGAACAGCAATCGTACACAAACTGAATGAACACAAGACTATTATCGGTCGCGTTGTTGGGTCTGTCATATTAGTTGTCTACCTGGTGTATCTTGGCTTCTGCATAGACTACTCGTTTGGGGATGAAGGCTCTGTCAGGCTTGTCTGGGGCACGTGTTTTGTTTTGTTTCTTGTTGGCTACAGCAACTTCAGCGGGAAAATCTTCCAGAAGATCAGAGAAGGTTGCAGATGCCAGACCCTGAGAAGGCCAATAATTCGAAAAGGAATCAGATGGTAAGATTTGTCTTTGATGAAGTCATTATCCCTACTTGTATTTTGTTTTACTGCACTTCTGGTTTTGTTGTTGAACATTTATATTCTTTATAAATTGATAAAAATCAAAGTTTTCGTAACACGAAATCCCTTTTATTATTGTTGTTTAGATATGAAAATCGGCACACACCTTTTTATCCTGGTTTTTAGAGAATATTTCTCTTCTCGAGCCTGATAAAAAAACAACAACAATTTGTCCCCATGTCATTCCAACCCCACCCCAGCCTCCTAAATATCTAAATATGACACTTGACATGCTGAATGTCGATTGGACACATTCAATTAATTATTTCGTGAAGATATTGTGTTTATCACTATGTAATTGCTGGCATATGGTATTTAGTTATTACACAAGTATATGTAATAATATAAGGGTAATGCTATTTTTGAGGGCATTGTCATTTGCAGAAGCCCGAGGTCTTCCATTAACTGCCCGACGAAGGAGGGCAGTTGATAAAGACCGAGGGCTTCTGCAAATGATAATGCCCTCAAAAATAGCATTACCGTTATTATTGCTAAAATACATGGAATTTGTGTTGAAAAGAAAAAGGAAACAATGAAGGAATTTGACTGTAAGTTTACCCAAATCAACTTCTGACGGGGTTGACTGCCCGAATGCAATTACGTCATCGAACAATTCAAGTGACGTCACAACAGAAAGTGACGATATTCGACCTTGGCCTTTGACAAGACCATAGCCTGCAACATGTCAAGCTATGACAGTGTTCGGTTTTGGTCCATCAACAGTCTTAATAGTGCAATTGTTAAGGTTAGCACCAACAAGAAAGCCAAAATTACCGCTTTTTAAAGCGGGAATTTGGGTTGCTTTGACTTGTTTGACCCAGAATATCTGCCAGTCGAAAGCCACTAATGTCGAACTATGACGTCACTTGACAACAGAACTGATAGTGGCCCGTCGTTAAGGTTGAGCGGTCCAATATCATTTGCAGCGGACCGCAAATTTCTGATAACAGGAGAGCCGTTTCATGATAATTCCATGTATTTTAGCTATAAGATACTTTATTACGTCCGTTTGCTGTTTCAGGTTCCTGTACTTGTCGATACTCTTGTTCATTATCACGTACCTGTGTCTAACCATTCTACAAACAAGTCCAAAGAACTTCACCTCCCTCGCAGGACTGGTCTTCTTCATAGTTATCGGTTACATATTCTCCAAACGCCCAGACCTGGTGATATTAGTTTGTTTTCCCTTCCTTAACGCCGCATTAAACAATATTCCAGTTATATTCGCTTAAGATCGATTATGAGCAATATACTACAGATCAGGGTGCTGTTGTTCAAAACAACCTTAGCGCTAAGGTTACCTTAAGTCTATGTTAATGTATGGGAGTTACGGTCACCTTAGCGCTAAGACTGTCGTAAGTCTATGTTAAGGTATGGGAGTTACGGTCACCTTAGCGCTAAGACTGTCGTAAGTCTATGTTAATGTATGGGAGTTACGGTCACCTTAGTGCTAAGACTGTCGTAAGTCTATGTTAATGTATGGGAGTTACGGTCACCTTAGTGCTAAGACTGTCGTAAGTCTATGTTAAGGTATGGGAGTTACGGTCACCTTAGTGCTAAGACTGTCGTAAGTCTATGTTAATGTATGGGAGTTACGGTCACCTTAGTGCTAAGACTGTCGTAAGTCTATGTTAAGGTATGGGAGTTACGGTCACCTTAGCGCTAAGACTGTCGTAAGTCTATGTTAATGTATGGGAGTTACGGTCACCTTAGTGCTAAGACTGTCGTAAGTCTATGTTAATGTATGGGAGTTACGGTCACCTTAGTGCTAAGACTGTCGTAAGTCTATGTTAAGGTATGGGAGTTACGGTCACCTTAGTGCTAAGACTGTCGTAAGTCTATGTTAATGTATGGGAGTTACGGTCACCTTAGTGCTAAGACTGTCGTAAGTCTATGTTAATGTATGGGAGTTACGGTCACCTTAGTGCTAAGACTGTCGTAAGTCTATGTTAAGGTATGGGAGTTACGGTCACCTTAGCGCTAAGACTGTCGTAAGTCTATGTTAATGTATGGGAGTTACGGTCACCTTAGCGCTAAGACTGTCGTAAGTCTATGTTAATGTATGGGAGTTACGGTCACCTTAGTGCTAAGACTGTCGTAAGTCTATGTTAAGGTATGGGAGTTACGGTCACCTTAGCGCTAAGACTGTCGTAAGTCTATGTTAATGTATGGGAGTTACGGTCACCTTAGTGCTAAGACTGTCGTAAGTCTATGTTAATGTATGGGAGTTACGGTCACCTTAGTGCTAAGATCGCTTTGTACAACGGCACCCTGGTATACAAAGATATGAAGTCTGACCACCCGATCCCATTTGTCGACTCTTACGATAAGCATATTTTGCTGAAGACCAACTGTAACCCGGATCTTCTGGTGAAGATCTGATAATAAGATTATACATTAGGTTTATGATAATTACATCATTTAATACAGTCAATGAGTGTTGTCCTTATGTAATGCGTTAGACGTAAATGAGCTGAGTTACCCTTGACATGCCTGGAACCTTAGGTCGCGGTTTGAATCTCGCATCCACTATAATCATTATTCCTTGTCACAACAATATCCATGATTGGGATCATGGCTTTCACTAAATCGATAACCTTCTTATACACACGGAATGCGGAAAAATATATAATCAGTTCTGGAAAGCAAACCAGATTCGTATTCAGAAATCCCTCATTTCCTACAGGTCAACTGGCATGCAGTGTTCTGGGGCATTACAACACAGTTTCTGTTTGCGCTGTTCATCCTCCGGTCGAGATTTGGATACAGCGTTTTCAACTGGTTGGGAGAGAGGCTTGAAGAATACATGAGACACACAGACAAAGGTTCTCAGTTTGTGTTTGGGGACAGCTTCAGAGATCACCAGTTTGTGTTTGTGGTGCGTTGGTTCTCATGTTGTCAGGAATAGTTGCCCCATCACTGCCATCCAAATGGACGATATGTAATACCCAATCTGTGCAACTGCCCATTGCGTGCTTTGGGCAGGCTGTTTTCCCAATGCGTGCAATATGCAATACAGCCTGCTAATTGCATGCAGTGTGCGAACAAACACCTGCTCATTGCGTTAATTGGGCAATAGGTGAAAATGAATCATAATTTTCCAAATATTTCACAATATGGGCAACCAGATTGCTCATTTCACTCAGTGGTAAGGTGATTGTTCTGCCCAAATCATGCAATTGAAATTGGTATTGTTTTATATGTATATGTATTTAATAAGTGACTATTAATAAGTGAATAAACTATAATAAATAGCAACCAAGCAAATATGTGATCTTAAGAAACTTGGTCGATATTTGCATCATAATGATCATTGGAATGCCAAAAAATATTCTCTCAAGGTCGAGAGATTATATTAAACGAACTTGAAAGCAATTTTAAATATTCGGAACGTAAATCAAATGATCATTTAAAAAAAATGAATCGATACAGAAAGTTTTAGAACCATTTAGTACCTTTTAACTTAGTATATGCATTTATCAGATATTGTGGTCAGATACCTATAGTTTAAATCGTACGTGTTCCCCCAAAGAGGTAATAACACTATTGGATTTATCCTTCCAGACAATGCCACTGATTATTTTCATGAGTTCCACAGTCAACATGCTGTACCACTACGGGGTGCTCCAAGCTATTGTCAAGAACTTCGGAAAGTTCCTCTTCTTCTGTATGGGTACGAGCGCTGTTGAATCTGTCAACGCTGCCTTCAACATGTTTCTTGGTCCCGTAAGTACTAACAGTACTTTCAACACTTCCCAAGCGTTCTTTAGAGATATCAGTCAATTCGTTATATCTTTCATAGGATGTGTTTAACATAGCCTGTATATAAAATGATTTACCCCTTCAGCTATTTTCAGACAAACGTGTTACTCATACATAAGTTTGCAATAGTATTATCGAAAAACTTTGATTCATGGATGACCAAGTAATACAGGCCCCCCTTTTCCACAATCTATGTACTGTGCTGTCAATATTTGAGTACAGGGTGGTACGTTCTGGGTAACAACCGTAAAAGTGTTAATGATTGAAGGGTGCGTTTATAAAGGACACTTATACAATCAGGTTATATGTAGGTTATATGTTAAGGTAACGTCGAAGGTATTCTTTAATGAAGAAGGTGAAAACTAGTACTATGATGGCCTCCATCCTAAAGATGTCGTAGCTATGCAGATGGTCATGGTGTCATTAAGTGCAGTGCATAGACCTTGGATATAAGTATGTTAAGAAAGAGTTAGCAATATCTTCAAGAACCATCATATTTAAGGTCAGGTCTTTTCCGTCACCCTTTGTATCGACATTTAACATGCTCTTGCGGCGCGGTCCTTGATGTAGGAACACGTGGATATGTTCTATACTAAACGGGATTAAATGGCGAATGCAGTTATCATCCCTGTACCGTCTTATGCCAAGTTGTGCTGCATCACATGATTGTTTTGATATTCCGACTTCAGTCTGAGGCTCCAATGGCTATCAAACCATTCCTGCCACTACTGACTGCATCTGAGATGCATGCCATCATGGTCGCAACTTTCTCCAGTATTTCCGGAAGTGTCTTTGGAATGCTTGTGAACTTTGGAGTAAGTTATATCTTCTTGTCAATGTCTTTTTATCCGGTTGAATATATACTAGGCACATAAAGAAACTGTGCATACAAAAATTTAAAATCTAAATTTATCAAACCTGTGTAGACACATAAGGATTTAAACTCAGAGATTAGTGACATGTATCCAACATGCATGGACGTGCCATTTTCCGTGACATCAGTGGGTTCGTCCTTGAGACGTGCAATACGTTGTTGCACGTGCATTCCGGGAAAGAGAAACAGAGCAAATGAATGCCACACAATACTGTCACTTTGGAAGCTCAACCCCTGCCCTTGCGATCGTTCAAAAAATTAAACGGCTATTGAAACGCATAGCATGCCAAGGCTCACGTCTGCACAGCGTCATGAGGCCTTTGGGATGGTCCGTGGGGTAATGTCTCAACGACAAATGGCTGCACATTTCCACTGCCACCAGAACACCATTTCTGCACTGGTGAGACGCTACCAGAACACAAATGACGTCATCGATCGGCCACGTTCTGGACGTCCACGTGTAACAACACCAAGACAGGACAGATGGATAAGGGTGACCCATCTTCGCCACAGGTTTCAGACTGCAGTGATGACTGCCCGAACCATCCCAGGACTTCGTCGTATCCACCCCAACACAGTTCCCCAACGTTTACGTCATCACGGGATCAGACCACGACGTCCCGCCATACGGCCTATCCTGACACAACGTCATCGACAAGCTCACAGAATGTGGTGCCGAAATCATGTCCGCAGACCATTGTTTTGGTGGAGAAATGTTGTTTTTACAGATGAGTCCAGGTTTAACATTTCCCATAGTGATGGACGTCAACGTGTCTATAGACGCGTGGGAGCACGTTATGCACAGGCCTGTGTCTTGGAGAGGAATAGCTTTGGTGGTGGTTCCGTGATGATTTGGGGTGGAATAACAGCACGCCAAAGAACTCCTTTGGTGATTGTTCAGGTCAACTTAACTGGTGTGGGCTACAGGGATCAGATTCTTCGACCTGTGGCAATTCCTTTCTGCAACGTCATGGCCCTGGGTTAACATTCCAACAGGACAATGCCCGCCCTCATAGGGCAAGGGTTGCTATGGATTTCTTGCAACACCACAACGTTGACTTACTGCCTTGGCCTGCAAATTCACCGGATCTCTCCCCGATAGAGCATGTTTGGGACGAGATGGATCGACGTCTACGCCGTCTTCCTCATCCGCCACATAACGTCCTTGACCTTGCAACAGAACTTAAGAGAATCTGACGTGACATCCCACAAGCCTTCCTTGCACGTTTGATAGGCTCTATGCGACGTCGATGCACTGCTGTTCTCAATGCCGATGGTGGACACACCCGTTATTGAGCTTGTGACATGGTCGTTTGACCCCTGTCCCGCTTATGGACTCGTAACGTCATTGTGATTGACTTTTCAATTGAAATTCTCCCGACTTGTTATGGTCTCATGATCCCTCCATTAAAGTTATATGTACCTTTGACATTGTTACCGTACTTATCAACTGGGATAATATTTTGACAATGCACAGTTTCTTTATGTGGTAGTAGAGTTAGAGGCGTGATAGTCTATCCTATCTAATCTCACACACCCCACCCCTATCTAGTCTACCCCGTCTAATCTGATACACGAATCTAGTCTCCTACATCCAATCTGACACCCCATCTCGTGTACACTAACATGACACAGTCTACCCCAATCTGTTATGACCCCAATGTTCTCTAGCACCTAGTTTGACACGCCATTTTGTCGATTTTTCTAGCAACATCCAGGGTATATTCCCTTCCTCTATTGACCGCCTCCGTGGTGTAGTGGTTAGAGCGTCCGCCCGGGGAGTGGAAGGTCGCGGGTTCGATCCCCGTCCGCGTCATACCGAAAGACGTTAAAATTTGGTAGTTGTTGGTCCCTGTCTAGCGCTCGGCATTAATGGGTACAATACGGACTGGTCGGATCGGAGTCAGTATAATGTGTCTGAGTGGGGTATTCATGCTTCACTGCGGCATGGTATCTCAGTGGGCTAGCACTATAAAACCAGCTTCAGTCTGGGCTAGTACAAGCAGCCGCACATACACACACACACACGCATGCACGTCGTCATATGAGCGAAATATTCTCAAGCACGACGTAAAACCCAATTTCACCTCACCTCACCTTCCTTCCTCTATTGGGAAGTACGACGTGTCTGCACCACTGCCAGAACGGAGAGTTCCAATAACATTCATTTGTATCTCACTGCTTATAACTTTGCTGCTTCCTCAATGTGTCTGTGTCAAAAGTATCTATTCACGTATGTAATGTATACTTTCACTTAGCTTGCTTCTTGGTTTATAACAAAACGAACATTAATAACCATAGTTACAAAATACATTCTTCTAATTATCTGTACAGCCGTTTGTTGATACCTAATGATATTGACACTTAAGTCACTGAAATCATCAAAAGGACAATATCAGAATTAACACAATCGATGTTCTATATTTGCTCAGAGATGGATCCCCGAATTACTCAGGTCTTAAACAAATACGAATATCATGTCAATGACCAGTGGGTGAGTTGCCTATCAAAGAGAGCGGCGGTAGGGTAGCCTAGTGGTTAAAGCGTTCGCTCGTCACGCCGAAGACCCGGGTTCGAATCCCCACATGGGTACATTGTGTGAAGCTCATTTCTGGTGTTCCGCCGTGATATTGCTGGAATATTGCTAAAAGCGGCGTAAAACCAAACTCACTCACTCACTCTATCGAAGATAGTTTTTATGGATGTCAACTTCTTTATCATGAGGAACACACCATTTCGGAGTATATCCTTACTTCTTCGAGCGATGAAGGAGTAAGGATATGCTCTGAAACGTTATGTCCTCATAATAAAGAAGTCTATTACTTCTAAATGCCATTCAAGACCTGATTTGTCTGTCGCCTGTCATCGCACTGTCTTCAAAATTTGACACCTATGGTGTTGGTGTTTACAAACATGTACAAAAAAAACCCACTGACTTTAGATGGTACAGAATACTGCTGGCTGTATGTATGTGCTCCTTAGATAGGGGATTCTGTATGGTGTTACATGTTGTAAGCATCCCTCTGCAGGCTCCTGCCAACCACCTCCTCACAGCGTCTGTGATGTCTGCCCCCGCCGCCCTCGCAATGGCGAAACTGACCATGCCGGAGACACGACGGACTAGGGTCAAACCTGAAGATGCTTACAATATAACAATGGCGTAAGTAAGAATCGATTACACTAGACATGGTCTGGACTATCATTAAACATGCCAGTAGACCCAACAGCCGCTTTGTCCAATGCAGACATACAAGGGTAGCAGTGGTGTAATTTTATGTCAAACAATGTGCTTGGTCACATCGAGAACCCTGACAAACCTGATGATTGTTCATTTTTCCCCAAGAATTTATAAGTCACCACTAAACACAAGTGTTCGACATAACATATTGCATATTCACGTTACAATTTCTCCACACGCTCCCAAATCTAAATAATTTGAAATGTACATATTCAAGGTTGTGATAAAGCGTTCACAATGTTTAATGGCAGGATGTGAAGTGTCTGTGACAAATGATGTCCGATACACACCGATGGAGGAAGTTAAACTCACTTTATCGCAACACATTCTCACATTATCATATGTTTATATTTTTATATAATATGTTCACAAGAGTGTCTTGATATATCTTTCAGGAAATTTCAGAGCGTATTGGAAGCAATATCTATCGGCGCTGTTGATGGCATCACACTGGCGTCCACCGTCGTTGTCAACCAGATCGTCTTCATCGCCGCTATTGAATTTATAGACACCGCATTTCAATGGTTTGGGCACAGGGTGGGAGTGGAAGGCGTCAATGTTCTCGGTATGTGTACCTCCTTTTGTGGAGCTGACGTAGTGGGATGACGTATAGCATTGGCGAATCATTTATGCGTTCTGATTATAAGAGTACACTTTCAGCAACCAGCGTTTGTCGTAAAAGGCAACTAAAAGTGAACGGTGGTAGATCGATGCTCATGATGTCTGTCACTGGATTGTCTAATTCAACTTTGTTAAGTTATACACCTTCGTCGATTGTGATCGACGCAAACCTGAACTTGTTATCGTGATGAGATCAATACATTTCGTATGAACTTGGGAACTGAAACACTTTACCTTTCAACTGTCACAATATCCTGAAATATATACCACATCTTTAAATGTTGACATTATTTCAATTTCGTCCGTGAATCCAAACATAGTTCAGTTCTCAAGCCTTCATTGAGTCGAAAGCGTGTCATAGCAACGTTTGTTTATAAGCTTATTAATGAAATAAAATTGGAAATAAATTACACGACATTCTTTGAGTTTGGTAAATTTGATAAATTGTTCCAAAAGCTGAATGTGTCCATATCGTATATGTTTCTATACGCATACAGCAGAGTAAAGTCAGAGCTAAATAGTAAATATTATTTGAAAGGAAGTGATTCTACTTTTTGCTCGTATGCAAATTAACGGGTGGTCATTCACGCTGACATGGTTGACACATGTCATCGTATCCCAACTGCGTATGTCGATGCTCATGATGTTAATCACTAAATTGTCTGGCCCAGGCTCGATTATTTACTGACCGTCACCATATAGCTGGAATATTGCTGACTGTGTTGTTAAACACAAAATCAATCAATCAATCAATCCATGAATCGTATACAAAGTAAAACAATGTGAAGAATTGTTCCGCAGTCCCTAATGTCACCTTACTGTTTCGATGACCCTCTTCTCTTTACCACAGCTTCTCTGTTCCTACATGTTCTATCCGCTGGCGTACATAATGGGCTTCCCCAAGGTCGACCTCTTCAAGATAGGCGAACTGATGGGCATCAAAATCTTTGCCAATTCTTTTGTTGGATTTATGGAGTTTGGCAGGCTGGTCATCAACAGGAAGGATCTTGAGCAATATCAGCTGGTTCACAACGGTACCTGGCATTGGCAAGATGGCAATGTAATATTAGACGCAACCAATGTAACATTGGTCGGTGGAATTCTTGAGGTTAGTATCTGGACTTGTCTTGTAGATGTATTTCCATGTCCAAATTAATAACATCTGCAAACAGGAGTGCTCGGATGCTATATATAGCATTAAATTCAATTAACTGGAAAGGAATATAAATATTCAAGACTGTTTTCGAGAAATGTCGAGAAAGAGATATGTCTAAGTGGACACCCTTGTCTAACACTGGTAGAACAGTCAAACACACGTTTCTTCCCCGTTCAGTGATGCCGATACTTTTAACGTCACTGTGCAAACATTGAAGCGCCTTGAAAATCATCCTGTGGATACCGTTCTCCAAACAAAAGTAAATACAACTACATGTAGCTGGAATATTGCTAACAAACAAGCAGACAAACACTTATCTGTCTCCCACTTTGGGTTCCATGGTAATTTTAAGTTTTCGGATACATTTGCTGTTGTTGTTGTTTTTATCCGCAGCGTAGTGAATTTGAGATGAGTAGCTATGTAGGAGCCCCCGCTCTGCCTGTAAAACCATGTGACACTACTGGCGCCTTGTCAAGTTACCCACCACAACCATTTCAGTTTCTACACCATCTGTCAAGGCGAAGTTAGCCTTGATAGTTGAAGGTGTCATCATATTTCAAACCATTAGCTGTGGCACACTTTATGTTTGAAATTATTAGACATGTGATGGTTTGGTTGAAACCAAACCCATATAGCTGGAATATTGCTGAGTGCGTCGTAAAACTAAACTCACTCACTATCACCATCGGGTTTTGTCATGCCCATTCCCTTCCCTTTAACTTGTTGGACTGTCAGATGTTTCCTAAACCAGTGTCTATCTAATGAGTCATACCAGAGTGTTAAGAAGCAATGCTCTATTTCAGTACAGATATTTGTTTCGTAAGTTTAGTTACAGTATTAAGACCCGCTGTTACTTTTTTCATATAATGAGATCGTCGAATCACATTGTAAAGAGGCAATTCAGTTCTGATATATGTTTCGTAATAATATAAGTTTATTTCGAGCGTGAAGACTCGCTGTTATTTGTTTCATCAACTTTACTATCGCTTGGACTCTCAGATGTTTCCTAAAGCGAGTATTAGCGTATAAAGGGAGCAATGTCCTACTTTAGTTCTGCTATTTGTTTCCGTAAGTATATTTACAGCATTAAGACTTGCTGTGTTACTTGTTAAATCAGTTCCACAATCGCTCGTGGTGTTAAATGTTTTTGACGGGTTTAAATACAACAACCGCATCAATCGGCCAGAAAAATGTTCGATGTCTCAGCTAAAGTACTGTCGCCCCTTAACAAGGTCATTAATGCAGGATCCGGAGAAAGCCTGCTCCTCGTTCAATGTCAGGGTCACATCGGTCACATCAATCACCAAAGGACATGCGCAGAAATATATGACTAGGACAGTAAATTGGTGGATTAAACTCACCAACATGTCCAGACAGTCGTAAAATGCAGCTTGGAAGCATATGACAACAAAGTACTGCTTAAGAGCCCGGGTATGTTATCGACGTTGTGTAGCCTTCAGTCCGTGAAATCTACTCTATGACTGCGTGGTAGAAAAAAGACCAATCTGCAGTTCCCCAGTTACAACTATATCCCTATTGAGAATGTAAAGGAATATTTCAAACTGTCAAGTTTGTGTTACTATTGTTAAATAAAGACTGAAGTGCTCTTCGTGTTCACCAAAAAGGCCTGTGTCGTGCCCGTTCGCTATTGACAACCTTGGTCTCACTGAAAGAGAGCGAGCGACCTGATTGGTTAAAACTGAAAGTTGTCCCATCAGATCGCCATGAGGTCATCAATGGCAAACGGGCGCAACACCGGCCTATTTGCGATGAAATGACAATGTAAAATTATTATGACAGTTAGGTGTAAGTGTCTCCGAAACCATGGCGACTAGTGCGCTGACAGGTGCCATCAATTCAGCATGTTTTTAGTGCATGATGTTTGTGTATACGGTGAAATGAACAAGAATATTGGTAAGTTATTAGCACAGATTCTGAGCAGGGATTTTAGCTCGCAATCGGAAATCACGACTTATCGAGCTCCGAAGACCCTAGCTTCCAAAAGTACTACTTTGATTTTTGTGCTGATTGTCTCATTTTGTAGGGCTTGAAATGCGAAATAATTCATCGGGTATATACAGTGGGCATTGTTGAATTCGCCCGAAACGAACTTGGTTTGTTGACCTCGTTACACCCTTTACTTTTATTAAGTGTCAAGACTCTGTCTGTATATACCTCATGCCAGTTTTGTTTCGTTACAAGCCCTGTGGAATAGTGCTGAGTGCAGACAACCGACACATATGTGAATTCTGCGAATGTAAATGCAGTATTGTAAATAGTCTCAAATGACATGCACACGAGTGACTGCCACCCATATCCGTATGTCTAATTCCTGGAACTCCTTAATTCCTTCCATTGTATTTCAGGTGAAACGTTCTGAGGTGCTTGGTACGTATGCCTTATGTGGGCTCAACCACATAGGGCAGTTAGTGTTGCCATGGGAACGCTGATCGCGCTGTGCCCGAACGGAGGACCACCATCACAAAAATATGTACTGGAGGGCAAAACATCACTGGGCAGATGGCCTGCTTTATGACAGCATGCATCGCAGGTGAGCGAGTAGTGTGAGTGAGTGAGTTTAGTTTTAAGCAATATTCCAGCAATACCACGGCGGGGTACACCAGAAATTGTACCCATGCGGGGAATCAAACCCTGGTCTCCAGCGCGTAACGACCGATAACCACTCAGGGGCTACTCGAGTGAGAAGTAGAAGTGGCCGAGATATATAAGGGTTCTGGGCTATTTTCG